CCAACTTCTGATGTAAGACTAATTGGCCTATAATTGCTTGGACAATGTTTATCACCTCCTTTAAATATTGGAGTAACATTATCCAACTTCCAATCTTCTAATACTCTTCCACTACTCAATGACCTATAAATATATTAGCTAGTGGTTCACAAATAAAATCTTTAAGTTCCTTTAAAACTCTAGGGTAAAAGTTGTCTGGTCCAGGGAACTTATCAGTATTTAGGTTTCCTAACTTTTCTCTTACAATTTCAGAACTTAAAATGATATCTTTTATATCAATATTTTCCCCATGCATTAAGTGAGGTTGAGGCATAATACTTGTATCTTCCTTCATAAAACTGAAGAGAACATATAATTTAATATGATTGCCATCTCATAATCTTCCGAGATCAGCTCCCCACTAACATTTTTAAGAAGCCCAATCCCCATACTCACATTTTATCTTACCCATCATATACCTAAAGAATTCCTCATTGTTTGATTTAACTCTCTTAGTCAACCCTCTTTCATATACAGTTTTTACACTTTTAACTTCCTTTTTAACCAGCTGTCTTGATTTTCTATAGTCCTACAAGTCCTTATTGTTTCTAGTAAGTTTAAATTTCTTGAATTTATTATGTTTATCTCTGATATGATATCTTAAACCTTTACCAAACCATACTGGTTTATTCTGCTCCGTTGACCTTTTTTTCTGTGGGGAATATGTATGTTCTGTATACATATTAATTTCTTCTCAAATGCTTCCCACATCTGTTCAAAATCCTCTCCCAACTCTTCAGTCCAATCTAAATAAGCCAGATCATGTCTCATTCAGTTCTACATGTAGTAAAATCCCAAACCTAATAGTGCAATGGTCACTCGTATATAAATGCTCACCAACCACAACTTTGTCTATCATACTCACATCGGATGCTAATACTAAATCTGATATAGCATCCTCTCTTGTAGGTTCAATCACCAGTTGGCGTATAAGAGTATCCTGAACAATTTCCAAAACTTATCTCTCTCACTGTCAGACTCGAAATTTTCCCAATCAATACCTCTGAAATTAAAATCTCCCATATTTTTCAGCTACCATTCTGATCTCTTTACACAGTTTATCATTAACTTCCACATTCTGACCTGTGGTCTATAACAAATCCCAATTATAAGACTTTTTCCTTTATATCCACTAACACCAACCCAAACTGACTCAATCTCAGTGCTATTTTCTTTAATATGCTCTAACTCAACTCTAACTCAATTGTTCAAATCCAACCAAGTCTCAGTGATACCTATAATATCAAAATCTTGTTTCCACAACTTTTTTGAGCTCATCAATCTTATTTCTAACACTCCTAGCATTACAGTAGTAACAATTAGTCATAGATGTTAAAATACATTCATGTTTTATGCCTGTTGTACAGGTTTTCCTATCAATTATATTTCCTATTTTACTAATATCATAGCCCTAACCGCTCTCTAGCCCTAGTTTAAATCAACCACTACAGCTGAGTTAATAGCCTTTGCTAACATGCTAGCCCCTGTCTTGTTTAAGTGTAAGTCATCCATTCCAAAAAGATTAACTTTCCCAATAGCATTATCCCACAAATCCAACCAGCCTATTTGCTCATCCCTACATATTGATCTAAGTCTGGCATTCAATCCTATTGACCTAATTAATATCTCATCCCCACTATTTATTCTTGGCAATATCCCTGACAAAATCAAGCTATGACCCCTTTCGTTAAATGCCTTTATCAGTGTTTGTTACCTATCAATATGCTCCTCAGATCCATCTTTCCTAACATCATTAGCCCAACTTGTATCATAAAAACTACATTGCTACTAGCACCCTTAACTATTTTTTTGGTTCTATTAGTTATATCCTGTACCCATTGCTACTAGTACCCTTAATTATTTATCTTGTTCTATCAGTTATATCCTGTATCACTGCTCCTGGATAGCATAAGTGTATTCTTTTGCTCCTATTTACTCCACATACTACTCTATTTATATGCCTAACTAGAGAGTCACCTACAACTATAATTTCCTTATCCTTTACACTATCATCACTTGTGACCCCATCTGTTTCCCTTACCTGCTCCCCCTCATCACTAGCAAGTGCTTGGAACCAGTTGCTTAACCTAAATCCAAGCCTATCCTTGTCCCTAAGTGCATTATCTTCCAAGTAGTGGGCAATAACTTTTGGGTAAATTTTGTATCAAACCTGTATAATTATTCTTCTGTCATTAACTAGGTTTATTGTACTGCAGTATAACCCTGGTAGGTTAAGTATATTGTATGTCATCAATACCATAACAGTAGCTAAATAATAATAAAGACTTATATAAGTTCTGTGTAGATCTTCTATAATGAGGTTTTCATCAGGTTGAAGAAAATTACAGTATAGAATCCAAAATGTCATATTTTTCTAGAAACTGGCAAGAGCACTCCATTACTGCCAAAAGTCTACCTTTTTACTCTAAAGGCGTTCCATATATTTATTAGCATCCATCACCTAGAGTTGGCTGGCTCAATTATGATAAATTTTGTTATAGTAACTGTAAACTGTCCAATGCTGTACACGGGCTATTTTGTTTTAGGATTTTTGCTAGAGAAGGGGATTAAAAAAATACTGAAATAGGACACATTTTCACTTTTTTTTTAAATAGATTTTTGGTTTGAATTTAAAGACACAAGTACTTAATCACTTAAATGAGTCAATTCTTACTTTCAACAAACCAGGGTTCGCAATTAGCATCTAATGAAGTCATTAGGGATTTAGTAACAAAGAAGGAAAGAGAACATTATCTAAAATTGTCCCTTATACAGTTTTGGTGTCCTATTAATGGATAATAAATGAGAAACCACAGAGCTACTGTCATGGGACTCAGAAAGTTGCAGATTGAGAATTTACTGAAATATTTACTTTTAAAATTGGGAAGTTAAAACAGATAATATAAAAAATTTAAATTATAAACTACATTTTGATGCCAAGCTTTGTAACCTAAACTGTTAGTAAAGTTGTTTAATTAAATGTTGGATGTAACTCCATATCTATATCCAGAGGGTTAAAGCCAAAACTACCAGGTCTACACTGACTAAAATACCTTTGAAAAGACATTTCTGTAGATTTGGTTATCTAGATTGTGTTTTGTGTGCATTAAAAAACAAGATTGAAATATTCAAACATTAGGAGAATCCAGTATGTAGATAGTCTTTCATTCAAAGTAGGTAAATGGAAGAATCTAGTGCACAGTTGAAATTTCATCCAAAAAAAAAGGATGATGTGACTAATTTTACAGGCAAGCTTAATATTCTGCAATAGGTAAAATATTTTAAAAAAAACAATGTGAAATAATGAACTCAAGCAGTCCTTTTTTATAGTTTATTTAGCATATGACACTACATTTTACCAAACAGTTAATGTCCTTCATCACTAAAAATAAACTGAGAAAATGTGAATTTTAATTTTTACAGTTTGTGATAATCTGATTGCTTTTTCATCTCTTAAAATCAGACCTAGTAGTTTTTGCACTCAAGCAAGTACTCTATTATCTCAGTTAAATGTTAATCCCAAGTAAATGTCAATAAAGTTTTTTAATAACTGGGACTAATTGAGTACCACATTCATACTTTTTCTCCAAACGAAGCTGAACCCGAGGGTGGAGATTACATTATTTGAACATAACACTGTGTTAACTAAGTTGAAAGGTTAACTCTTCAGCTGCTGTTAGTAAGGTATTTTTACAGACACTAACTGGCTATCACATTTTTCCTTTCTCACAAATAAGGCTCATTGTTGAACCAAGTGTCATGGCTGTAAAATAACGTTAGGAGGTAACATCATACTGCTAAAAATAATTATACACATAATACCAGATTTGAGCAGAAGTAATTGCAGACAATGGTAGAAATACAACATATGTTGAAAAAGCATTGATTGCTGTCTTATCCTTTTCTATTGGCATGCTCTCTACTAGATCTCACACAAGTTTGACACTATCAAAAAGACTGAGAGAAATAGAAATGTTGCTTCCCACTAATCATACTACAGTATATATTCTCATTGAAAAAATGGGGCCAAGAAGGTCAGCTCAGATGGTGCTAAGGCCAAACAGTAATTAAGTGAAAGTATTCAAGAAAATGCTGTTGTAAATAAATTATTGATTGACAGCAGTCAAGATTTGACTTGTACAGACTGCAGAAGTAGGAAAATATGAACATTAATTTTGACAAGATTAGAAGGTTAGGTTGAACAATTAGGATTGTCAAAATTTAATGCTTTTCAGACTGTTAAGAGTTTAGGTACTGTTCACTGGAGTATAAATCTTCAAGTGAAACATGTTTTACGTGAAAAACTGTAAACCACTTCTTTGAAACTGTAGTGTTAGTACAATGAAATGATAGTTTGGCCTGTTATAATCTAGTTCTTCAATTTTAGTTTTTAAAAGTCATATAGTGTACGTTAATAAACAGAACTATTAATCAGCCTGTTTCTTATAATTATTGATTAATATGGAATGCAACTGAAATAAGCAACTTGGCATAATAATAGCATTTTATAACATAATAAAAGATGGAAGTGTTTTTAATACCATTTTGAGACTATTTTTGTGTAATTCCAGGAATACTAAAATCATAGTTTCTTTGTATACACGTTATTGTATGAATATTAATATCAAAATTTTATTTTTAGGTCCTAAACAAGACCACATTGCAGCCCGTGAGTTCATTCTACAGATGTATCTGGATCAAAGTCCAGACCCAGATCACATGGTATACTCACATTTCACTTGTGCCACAGGTAAGTGTAAGTGGCGGGTGACAAATAAGTTTGTTTCTAACATTAAACTTATTTTCCACCCTTGAAATTTGTGCTGTTCATACTGAAAACATTATTTTTGCTCTTTCTGTGATTTAAAAAATGTTGCAATAAAGAAAATACAAAATTACAAGAAAGTCATTGAAATATCATTTGTTAGGAATAGATTTGAGTTGAAAAGCCAAACCTATTTGTCTGATGTCTTATTATTTCATCAAATGGCTTCCAAGTGTATTTGTTTTGTGAAGTGCCTTCTGCTTTTATGAAAACTTTGATAAATAATAGGACTTTTGAATGACACTATTTTATTCATGAAGGAAAACATTGAAGGTTCTGCCCTGATTGAACTACCCATTTTTCTCCAAAAACCAAAGCATATATTGTTCATTGTATGGAGGTCATCACAACCCTTTTGACTTTGATACTTGTAGCAGTGAATCCAACTATTTTTTACACTACCTATCATTGAAAAAATTATAAAAAGATACTTCTGTTATGTTCCTGCATTTGTTTTTGCACTGTGAATATAAAAAAGTGCATTTTACACATTACACAATTAATTCTAAATAAAATCTTGTTTTACAATTTTTTATATTTTTTTTCATTTGTGAAGTGTAAAAAGCATATTTACAGTTTTCATAAATTTTGTTGTGATTGCTAGGCCTTAGATTTTGTAATACTAAAAGTGAACATTACATTCCAAAGTGAATGTTAGCATTTTAGACTTTGTAACTATTTTCAACCCCACTTTTTGTTATTGAATGGGCATATCACTGATTTGGCATGAGGCATCTATTTATCATTTTAAAGCTTTGCTTGGAATGTAAAGCTATAAATGACAAGACAATGAAAATAGCTACTGCTGTTTTCCATCATGCAATTTTCTGAAGTTTTGATACAAGACACCTGATTTGTCACAGCACTTGTCCTTCAAAAACTTATCTGGTCAATTATTGGCTTTAAAGTTTTATTTTATGGTGTGTGCTAGTGTTTTATTATTAATGGATATTTTGTTAATGTTTGAGTATGTGTATGAATGCTTTTATGTATTTTGAAAAATGATGTAGTTCTCAAAGCTGGCTTGAAGTGAAATATTAGGCTTAATGACAGTACAGGTGCCAAGCAAGCTATTCTTCATTGATTGAAGTTTGACGCACTGAATGCAAATAAATTATACCAAAAATGCAAACAAACGTTGTAGTATTATTGCAACCAAACCTGGTTGGATAATCTGAAGTTTTAGAAATACTGTAAGAAACAAACAAACTAGTAATTTAAAAAAGCAAGTATTAGAATTGTGAGGGATCCTTTTCATTATACTTTAGGTGTTAGTTCCACAAGCATTCTTAGTGTCTAGAGGAACTGAAAACAAAAAATAGCAAATGTTGTATGTAATTTTGATCAACAACTTTCTTTTACTATATATTCTAGAAGTTTGATCAAGCTACACAGATATTTAATGATTACAAACATATGTACTTGAGAACAAAACAATAGTTCCATCTTCTTATTTATAACAGAAGCATTTTGAATTTAAATGTAGATGTAAATGCAAGCATTAGTTTATTGCCTTTCCTAACTTTCTCTGTTTTGATTACTCTTTGTTCCCTGATCTTTGTTAGAGCAGGAAAGCTTAACATTAAGGAATATGTTTATCTCATCATCTTCTACCTTTCCCTCTGCATTTTGTATACTTAACCTGTTAACTATAAACCCAAATTCAATAATATATTGTGATTATAACTTATTCTCCAAAGTTTATCTGTTCATTTGTCCACATTTAGTGGGTAAAAAGGGCCATATAGTCTTGTACAACCAGGAGTTCCCCCAAACTACTACATTTCTTCTTTTTCTACAAGTGATTTCTAGATATTAATGTAAAAAAAATGCATATGAATAAAAACCTATTTATGCAAAAGTTATTCTTTCCCTGTATATGACACAATTTTATTATGGCCATCCTGAACAGTTTTGTCTTCTTTTTTTGTCAAATATTTCTTAACAAAACTGCTTACTTGGAGTTAGTTTGAAGGTGGTCATATATTTTACAAGATTATTTTTGCTGGGCTCTTCTTTTAAAAGCTGTTGTTTGTTTATGTTATTTTTTTATACTTTTTCTTTTATATGGAATGTTATGTTCTTTTTTTCTCTCTCTAAGTTTAAAAAACTGTTATTCATTTATTTTATTTCTTAAATTTTTGTTTGTTGATGTTTTTTTCTT